ACCCAATGCTCGTGAGCGATCACTGTGTGTACCGGTTTCGGTCCATCAACGGAAAGCTTTTTGCTTTCTTCGGAAGCTAACATGTGGACCTCAATTAAATTCCCCTAAACATGACCTTTCGAGTTATCTCGCCGAAGCCCATGGAACTCGCCTCAAATTTTAATACTATCGTTAGTGTCGAAAATGAAAACAGCTCGTTCCGAGTGCTGTACTCCAAGAACACACAGTACTTTCAGGTTTACGTCGACTGACGAGGGTACGATCTTTTCTTCCCGAAAAGCCCTTTTTTGTTACTTCAGCGCAAAATACAAATGACCCAAGTTATAGAACATTTTATCTACAGACAGGCGACACCCTTTAGCCAACTAACTTTTTAAGGGTTGAAGTGAGTTCTTTTTTAAATTGGGACACCGTTGGCCTTTTTAACACATGTGGAAAAAGATACAATTGAGTAAAGGCTTTTTTTACGTTTGTATGGGCCAGCTAACTATGACACCGTTTTACGACAAATCTCCGTTGAATAATAATGAAAGAAAACGGTTCAATCGTGTTGAAATCAGCACTTTCTTAATCGATACGTCAGCTAATTAGGTCAGCGGCCTATTCTAGTTAAGTAAAGGAAGCAGGTCAGTGGTGGGGGACTGAAAGGTTGGCTCACAATTTAAACGGATTGCAAAATGCTCTGTTAGTCGGAAGTGGTCCACACAAGCTGGTAACGGGCACAGCAAAGTATGGGACAGAGCGACCACACGCGCGAAACACCCAGGGAAAACAGATTAGCTATTGAGAGCGGCTCAAGTATGGGTGGATTGTGCGAGGGTGAAAATTACGTGAAGAAGGATACCAGCTATTCTGGGGTCGATCAAAAGTGAGTTTCTATAAACGCCCAATGACCTGATAGCTTGCTCATATCATTCGCTCAAAAGAGAAGGTTAACATTGACTGCTAGCTGTTTTACCACAGCAAATAACAAAACCAAAATTCCAGTGCTAGTCATAGCCCGCCAAGATGAGCTCTACAAAAATACCAGTGAAATGTCAGTAAGGCCAACGGTGAGGAAAAGGTGTCGGTTGACTCACCAGCATTGGGATCACCAGCAGAGTCGGCATCTCTGGCTCTCGAGGCCTTCCGTTTGACAGCTTCCACCTTTTTGAGGTGTTCGGGATCGACTACGGGTAGAATTCGCTTGCCCAGGGGGTCCGGCAGAGTCTGTTTGACAGACTTTGAGGCCTTGCTTAGTACCTGCCTGCCCGAGGTGGTCTGTTTGCTCATCTTCTTCTCAGCAGCCTCAATAAGGCTCTGCATATCTCTCAGGCGATCCTCTTCGGATTTCTGCAAAAAAAGGAACGAAAAATCTGCGATAATCTGCGATTCGACGGTATCAGAGGGTGGCAACGGCCGGAGACGCTAAGAGCCAGAGCT